TTGGGGGTGATCGGGCAGGCAGGGGAGCAGTTAGGGGGCAATCAGGCTGGCAGGCAGAAGCAGTTAGGGGCAATCAAATCAGGCAGGCGAGCGGTTAGGAGCCAGTGTTCCCGGATTGTGAGAGGGATGTCCAACTGCTGGATTGGGCCTAAACCGGCAATCGGACATCCCCCGAGGGGTCCCGGATTGGAGAGGGTGCAGGCTGGGCTGAGGGACACCCTCTCCCCCTCCCTAGTGCATGAATTTCGTGCACCGGGCCTCTAGTTATCTAATAAAAACGATACTTGACGTTCTAGTAATAGATGAAATCACTGAGAAGAGAGCCAAGGACAGAACCTTAAGGAAAGCCTAAATTTCAAGGAAGAAAGGTACATATGGAAACAGAAGGTGTGATTACAGACATAGGAAGAAAACCAGAAGAGAACAGTAGCCTGAAATGCAGGAGTGAATGTGTGCAGTGTCTAGTGCCAAATAAATGCGGATGGGGACTGAGAAGAGGCTAATAATGAACTTAGCTGTAAGGAAATTGCTAATGACCTCTTGAGAAAATAGTTTCCATGAATTGAAGGTGTTAAGGAGTGAGTTGTGAGGAACATGAAGCTGCACATTCTACTTGCCAGAAATAAGTAGGCAGACGAAGAGCTAGAGTGTCAAGGACAGTCTAGAGCAGCGGTTCTCAACCCGTGGGTCGCGACCCCTTTGGGGGTCGAACGACCCTTTCACAGGGGTCGCCTAAGACCATCGGAAAACACATATATAATTACATATTGTTTTTGTGATTAATCACTGTGCTTTAATTATGTTCAATTTGTAACAATGAAATTGGGGGTCACCACAACATGAGGAACTGTATTAAAGGGTCGCGGCATTAGGAAGGTTGAGAACCACTGGTCTAGAGGCAGGGCAAACTGGGGTCTGTCTGTGTCTCCTGACAGGAGAGGCTTGAGTGTATTCATACCTGGAGGGGAAGGAGGCAAACAAAAGAACAGAGACCAAACGTATAGAGTGGCCCAGCTCTGGCTCTTACATGGTTAGCGAAGTTGGTATTCCATACAGAGCAAAGCATTTGTTAGAGAAGTTGGTATTGGGTACAAAGCAAAAGCATTGCTGGTTGTTCTGTTTGTCATTTCCCTGCTCTGCAGCAGGCATACCCCCCTTCCCCAGGAACCCAGGGTGTTGTGTGCAGCCCTGCCCCCTAGATGAACTCTACTCTTTTTTTATTGAAGAAAGTGCACTAATGCAAGTAAGAGATATTATCATATGGGCATAACCTTAAATATGTTGCTTAGACAAACTCATTCTTGAACATCAGCACTTGATTATTGACGCCAAATGAGTGACAGCACGGCTCTCGGGGCTCTGGCACACCCAGCACATCAGCATACCATCACCTGTGGCCAAGAGCCGATGTTCAAGTGGCCATTCCAGTTCTCAGGTCAGAAAACTCAGCCTCTCCAGGGGTCTGTGAGCTGCCCTCTGACCTGTAGATTATCTCTTATCCACACACCCACACCCACACCCACACCCACACCCAGGGAGAATAGTAATGAGGGAAGGGAAGTGCAGCAGCCTGGGAGGACACTGCACCCCTTCGCCATCCCCAGCCCCACGCTGCCCCTTCACAAAGGCCTTCTGAGCAGTTTCTTTTCCTATCCTCACCCTGTCTGTCTCTGCCCCTACTTTTTATTAGTTTGTGTTTTTTAAATTTTAACCATATTATAAAAATTCAAAAGGCTGGTTTCATTTTTCTTATAAGACAGCCTTTTAAAGCCCTATAGAGTATTCTAAAATGTAGCATTCTTCCCTTTAGGGTTATTAATTGCATCTTAATATGATTTCTGTGTCATTTGAAAAAACCTTTTTCTTAACTGTTTATTAATGTTATGTTATATTTTCTCATATCTCTTGGAAATAAAATGTTATCCAAAAATAAAATTCATTTTTTAGCACTTGTTATTTGTAAAAATATATTCACTGTGTCTCTTCAAGTAATCTTTGCAGGTTTTGTGGTACATGTAATTTAGGGTACATTTAGTAAGTTGAAGGGTTAAAATATCCTGTGCTGTCGCATATGGCAGTGAGCAGAATCGCAGATGTTGATGATACCACATAATTAGTATTCTTTTATGTAAATGAAGGCTGTCAGCATGTTACCATAGTGTCTACTCTCTCTGAAGCTGGAATTTATGCCACTTGGTCTCACCAAGACCAGGCAGGATTATTCCACTGTCCTTAGTTAAGAACTGAAAAGAGATTAATGCAATGAGAGAGAAGATATGGAAATTTCCTTAAAGTAGATAAATTCTCTTTATTTTTTTTCCTATTTTGCTTTTGCTTATTCCCCCCCCTCCCCGCCCCCAGAAATTTTATTTCTGGTGATGCAAAAATGCATTTAGGATGAGCTAAGAAATTTCCTATTTGAGAATAATTGGAATAGTTCAATTAAAAGACAAATCATATTTTCAAGCTATAGATTTTTGAATGATTATAGTGTTCAGTCATCTCATACAGAATTTTTTTAATGACGTGATAAATCTAGAAATGTCTCATCAGAACAGAAAGGAAGAATTGAAAAGATTTTATCTTCTTTTAATTTATTATTTTAGAGATAATAACCATAGTATGATACTTTTAAATAATCATAGTTTTTAGCTCCAGTTGATTCCGATTTTTAAAATAAAACTGTGGTAATTAAGGGAGCAGACATTCATATTTTATCAGGTTTACTTTATATACAGACAGATCCAAGGTGTGCAAGACATTTATTTAAAGTTTCTGATCTACCTAATGACCGAGAACAGTTCAAAGCACATCATGTTTTTTCCCAGTTACACTGCAAGTTTCTCTCCTTCGGGTTTTGGGTGCCTGTCACACTGGAAAAGGTGTACATGTCAGAAACATGTAAAATAGAGCTCCTTTATGCCTGTGGGTGTTAGGCCTTGTTCTTAAATAAAGTGGAAATATTGTCTTTCTTGGACTGAGTAACCTGAGATACTGTGTTCTGCTTATTCTCTATTTTGTGTGTTGATTAAGGTGGCTTCTTTTTTGTGTGTCACTTTTGGGTGATTTCCGTTTTATGATCAGATATGTTTTTCCTCTAGAGAAGCTAGTCTGCCCAGCTGAAATCAGTGTGGTGAGGTGCAAAGTACCCCTGTGTTCTCCTGAATGGATTTACTCTGCCATATGGCAGGTTAGTAAGTCCCCACGACAGATTTGTAATGGGAAAAGGGCTGTGCAGGAAAGGATGTGCGTGATCAGCAAATTTATAGATCAGAAAATGAAATCAGAAGAAAGTGTTTCCAGAGCGCCCTTTCCATTTGATGGCTCTCCATGGAGAGAGTATGGAATGGTCTTTTTAGTGTTTTTCTACTTTGGCTTTTAGTTATTCCAGCATATTTTTTCTAACACAGGAGTTGATTTCATTAAGGCCTGTGTTCTGGTGTTGTGTTGCTGTATTCCCATTCACGGAAGTATTCTCTGTAGGATTTGAAGTTGTGCTGTGTTTCATGTGATCTCAGTAGCAATTAAATTCCTAAAGACACATCAACCCTCCTATTGGCTAAAATATGGGGACTTGCCAAGTTTTGAGCTATAAGAAGCTATTCTGATATGATTCAGTGAGTAATGAACCTTTCACAGGAAAGAAAACAAAAAGAGAAGCTGAGTGAGCTAAAGATAGTATGTCCTGGTATATTTAAGTCTGTGCTATCTAATATTGCACTTACTAGCTACATGTGGCTTTTTAAATTTAAATTAATTAAAAGTAAATAAAAGTTCAATCCCTCAGTCTCACTAGCCACATTTCAAGTGCTCAGTTGGCTGATTAGTACAGTATTGGGCAGTGCAGATAAAGAACATTCCACCATTGCAACAAGTTCTTTGGGGCATTGCTGGTCTAACTGGAAGATTTTGAGAAAAACAGTTCTTTCTTTGATTTCTATGAGGAGTTCTTCATTCCTATATAATTTACTAGATTTAGTGCAGCTGTTTTAAGGTTTTAATGTACAAATGAATCATCTGTAGACCCTGTTTAAAATGCAGATTTTAGACCCCTCCCCAGACTCTTGATTCATCAGATTTGGAGTCATGACCAGAAATCTGTACATATAAGTACCCTAGGGAATTCTGATGCTCACAGGTGGTTTAGGAACTACATCGATTGGGTGCCTCCTGCACACCCCGACCAGGGCCCCTGCGGGGGAGGAGCCTGCAACCAAAGTTGGGAATCCAACTGGGGACCCTTTGGTCCCCAGGCCGAAGCTCTATCCATCCACTGAGACAAAACGGCTAGAGCTGTTCCTTCATACAACCAGAATCTTGATTAGTATTCCCTCCAGGACATCATCATTTCAGAAATGGTTTGGAATACAAGTTTCTTTCCCTTGTTGACCAGTTGGGTGCCATGTGAAATAAGGGTAATGCCTTTCCTATGGAACACAAAATCAGCCTCACATAAAAATTAGTTGATAGGCCGTAGCCGGTTTGGCTCAGTGGATAGAGCGTCAGCCTGTGGACTGAAGGGTCCCAGGTTCGATTCCGGTCAAGGGCATGTACCTTGGTTGCGGGCACATCCCCAGTAGTGGTTGTGCAGGAGGCAGCTGATCGATGTTTCTCTCTCATCCATGTTTCTAACTCTCTATCCCCTTCTCTTCCTCTCTGTAAAAAATCAATAAAATATATTTTTTTAAAAAATTAGTTGATAGCCAAGAATGAAAACAGGCTTAGAAAATTTGAAATTTCAAATTGGTGGTAGGCCCTTCCTCCTGTATTTTATAATTCTTCGTTTTTAGGGGACTTCACTGTCTTTCTGTAATTCTCATTCCATATTGAATTTGCTTTACTTTTTAAAAAACTTACTTCCAAAGGAACCAATTTTGAATTGAAAACTAATAAGCATTGAGTTGAAAATGCCAGTTGCAAGCCTTTTTCTAGGAAAATATTTTGCTGAAAGCTTTTATTTCTCTTTCTCTCTTTTGGGGGGCCCTGTTGTGCCAGGTTGAAAGAGTGGAGCCTTCTGTGAGACATGGATAGATGCAAACATGTAGGGCGGTTGCGGCTGGCCCAGGACCACTCCATCCTGAACCCCCAGAAGTGGTGCTGTAGGGAGTGCACCACCACCGAGTCGGTGTGGGCTTGTCTCAAGTGCTCGCACGTGGCCTGCGGTCGCTACATTGAGGACCACGCCCTGAAACACTTTGAAGAGACTGGACACCCACTAGCCATGGAGGTCCGGGATCTCTATGTGTTCTGTTACCTGTGCAAGGACTACGTGCTCAATGATAACCCGGAGGGGGACCTGAAGCTGCTGAGAAGCGCTCTCCTGGCGGTCAGGGGCCAGAAGCAGGACCTGCCGGGGAGGCGAGGTCGGACTCTGCGGTCCATGGCCTCGGGCGAGGACACGTCCCCGCCGCCACGCACTCCTCAGGGACAGCCGCAGATGCTCACGGCTCTGTGGTACCGGCGCCAGCGCCTGCTGGCCAAGACGCTGCGGCTCTGGTTTGAGAAGAGCTCCCGCGGCCAGGCGAGACTGGAGGAGCAGCGGCGGGAGGAGGCCCTGGAGCGCAAGAAGGAGGCGGCCAGGCAGCGGCGGCTCGAGGTCAAGCGGCGGCTGCTGGAGGAGCTGGCCAGCGCCCCTCCGCGCAAGAGCGCACGCCTGCTGCTGCACGCGCCCCGCGCCGCTGCCCAGCGCCCCGCCGCCCGGAGGCGCACACCCACCGGGGGCCGCCTCCCACGCCCGGGCACCGGCGGTGGCTCCGGGCGTCACTGGCCTGCGCAACCTGGGCAACACCTGCTACATGAACTCCATCCTGCAGGTGCTCAGCCACCTCCAGAAGTTCCGAGAGTGTTTCCTGAACCTCGACCCTTCCAAAACGGAACAGCTCTTTAACAGAGCCGCCAACGGGAAGGCCCCGCTCGCGGGCAGGCTGGCCAGCAGCTCAGCCACCGAGCTGTCGCCAAGGAGCCACAGGGCTGAGTCTTGCGAGCGGGATGGTCTCTTCTGGAATGGCGGCGCCTCCATCACCAAGAGCCTAGAACTCATCCAGAACAAGGAGCCCGGCTCAAAGCACATCTCCCTCTGCCATGAACTGCACACCCTTTTCCGAGTCATGTGGTCCGGGAAGTGGGCCCTGGTGTCACCCTTCGCCATGCTTCACTCCGTGTGGAGTCTGATCCCTGCCTTCCGCGGCTACGACCAGCAGGACGCTCAGGAGTTTCTCTGCGAGCTGTTGCACAAAGTGCAGCAGGAACTCGAGTCGGAGGGCACAACGCGCCGGATCCTCATCCCCTTCTCCCAGAGGAAGCTCACCAAACAGGTCTTAAAAGTGGTGAACACCATATTCCACGGGCAGCTACTCAGTCAGGTAGGTGTGTGTCCATCCTAACCCCAACTCTACCCATCACATTGGAGGCAAGCTTGTATGTTAGCATTTGGGCTTCTCATGAGTGCCTCCTGCAGGTTGTTGGGTTAATGGGGTAACCAACAATGGCTATAATTATTCATAATGGAGGGTGGCCATTGTACCTTTCATTGTACTATACACTGTGATGGCCTTGTTGGTGAACTTGCCTCCTGTCTCTTTCTGGGCAGATTTTCAGTGTAACTTGCTATATCGCTTCATTTTCAATGAATGTCTTTACCCTTTAATGATGATATGGATAATCTAATATTCTCTTTATAATTAAGTACCCATGGTTGGCATGACATCTTTGATCAGTTTTAGGAAACTGAACAGTTTGCCTGTAACCCTGGTTCCATGATATTTTGAAAGGGTATGTATTCTTACTAACTTGATATTCTTTACACACATGGAAGCGGAGTGGCTAGGAGGATGCCAAAGGCCTAAACAAGCCTCCCTCCTGTTCCCCATTACCTTTCATTTACTGGGTCTTCAGCCATGTACAGACAGAAGCAGTGACTCATAGATAAGGCTTTGTGAGAATATGCAGAAAGAGAATTTTTATTGTGAGAATATGCAGAAAGAGAATTTTTAAAGTTAAAAAGGTGGGCAACTTAAGAGATTCAAGTAAAACCTCTATACTATGCTACTGAGGTTTGTGTTTTGGCATTTAGGGTTTTAAAAGAATGATGTGTAGGATGGGAAGAGAAAGTTTATTTAAGCTTTTAGCATTTGAAAGGGGAGTATTTATGGGCATTTACTTTATCCCTTGAGGGTCAAAGTAAATTGTAGAGAACAATTTAAAATAGTAAATTGTTCTCTATGAAGAATCAGGACAAAGGTACATCTGGGAAGGTTGTAAAGGTGCATCTGAGGAGGTCTGATCACAAGGTACTTTGAGGCTGTGTGGACAGGGATCAGTGTAGGGGTGCTGCAAGAACCAGGGGCAAAAAGAGAGGCAAGTTAGGATCGCATGGAAGGGGCAAAGTCTGGAAGAGGAAGGAGTATAAGAAAAGCAGACAGGAATCTGCAAATTCTCCATCTCAGACTGATTCCCTGATAACTTGCAGTCTGTACCACAGCATTGAGTCTGGTAGAGCATGCTTTGGGTGAGAAGAGAGAAAGGTGTAGGTAATAACCACTGTGCCGGATGGTTTTCCAGTTCCAGCTAGCATTACATAGTTAGAAATATATACAGAAGTAGCATGCTCTAACTCTCTTAAAGTTATATTTATTATTTAATATTACAAATAAAATATTTTTTAAGACTGTATACTTAGTTTTGATCAAGTTATGTGTCTTGTATAAAGCAAGCAAAAACATATGTGGGAAGAATGGAGTTATATAACCTGTAAGTCATGTTTTTCATTCTAGGTCACATGTATATCATGCAATTACAAATCCAACACCATTGAGCCCTTTTGGGATCTGTCCCTGGAATTCCCTGAACGCTATCACTGCATAGAAAAGGGGTTTGTCCCTTTGAATCAGACAGAGTGCCTGCTCACTGAGATGCTGGCCAAGTTCACAGAGACAGAGGCCCTGGAAGGGAGAGTCTACGCTTGTGACCAGTGTAACAGTGAGTGCCGGGGTTGGAGGGGAGAGTGGGGGTGTGCGACTGGAATATCAGTTTAAGGTGCTTTTTTTGCTCCTTTTAGTCAAAAGTAACACTGATAATATTGAGTGGTTCTAAAGCATGTTTTAAAGATTTTTTTCTTCCCATTTTACTGAAAATAAGCATATGGACATTATATATTAAAAAACAAAACCGTTCTGGCTGATATGGCTCAATTGGTTAGGCATGATCCTGTGCACCAAAAGGTTGCCAGTTCGATTTCCAGTCAGGGCACATACCTGGGTTGCAGGCTCGATCCCCGGTAGGGGGTGTGCAGAAGGCAGCTGATCGATGTGTCACTCTCATATCGATGTTTCTCTCTCTCTCTCTCTGTCTCTCTCTCCCCCTTCTTCCTTCTTCTCTCTCTAAAAATCAATAAAAATATTTTCAAACAAACCTAGGAGTGGTGCCTCCTTTGACTTCTGCTGTGATTGACATTAGCTGTTATTTTGGGAGGCATTTGAACGTATGGATCCTGAAATGGGGACTCTAAGAATGTGAATACTTCATAGTACTGCAGAGGTCCTCATGGAACTCATGAATGTAGAATCTGACAGATCTTACTTAAGTTCAGGTGGCATAGTCTGTTGGAGGGCTGTGGCATCAGAAAAGTGTACTTTGGTATTGAATTTGTAGATTTAAAGTGTTAGGAGTGGTGCTGCAGGTCTGCACAATAAGGTCAAGGAAGCAAATCGTAGGGTGCATTGCTCTCTGGAAGTACATTCTGCACTTGTTTCTTCACATGCTTGAAAGGTTGGCACTTTGGAGGCCGTCAAAAGGAAGTATTTCTCTATCATGACATTAATTTAAAATGTTTAATTTTTTTAAAATCCTCACCCAAGGATATGTTTTATTGATTGATTGATCGATAAATAAATAGATAGGGGAGGAGGGAGAGAGAAAGAGAGAGAGAGAACCATTGATGTGAGAAACATTGATTGATTGCCTCCTGTACACTCCCGACCGAGGATCAAACCTGCAACTATTTTGGTGTATGGGACCATGCTCCAACCAACGGAGCCACCCAGCCAGGGCTTGTGGCTTTAATTTAAAAGTGGAACTCATCCTCGCCGGTTTGGCTCAGTGGATAGAGCGTTGGCCTGCGGACTAAAGCGTCCCAGGTTCGATTCCAGTCAAGGGCATGTACCTTGATTGCAGGCTCCTCTCCGGCCCAGGCCCCGTTGAGGGCTTGTGCACGAGGCAACCAATTGATGTGTTTCTCTCACATCGATGTTTCTGTCTTTCCCTCTCTGACTCTCCCTAAAAATCAATGGAAAAATATCCTCGGGTGAGGATTAACAACAAGAAAAAAAGTGGGACCTTTTCCATGTGGTTACATGGGCATCTTATGCAGGGCCCCTTCTGTCTTGCCACACTAAAGCTCAATACTCTGTTAACTCAGCATATACAGAGGAAATGCAGAGCAGATGTTTAGAAGCTCATGTTTGGGTTTTTTGGCATATAAGGATTTGGAAACTAAAATTAATGGATTGTGCAGAGATGTAGAAATCAACTTGCAGCCATATAATACAAGTTTTGTGAACAAAAACCTTAATATATTATTTGCATACGGTTTTTTAAAAATAGCAAATTGTGGGAAACCTGTTCTCTATGAAGAATCAGGACAAAAATCAAAAGTAATACTTGATGTTATTTTGCTATTTTAAAATAAAAATTGAAATGCTATACTTGGTTAACTGTAGACTCACATGACCTGTTTCCCATTATATATAAAGGCAGTGACTTAAATGATCTTATTAGAGCAGTATCAGTTTTGTTTTTTAATATTGATTCATAAGCCTTTTACTTGTAAGGAACAGCAAAAGGATGTTAACAGCTTTAATTTCATCATTCTCAGACATGATAGATAAGGCAAGAAATACTTTTATTTATTTTTGCAAGAAAGGGTTGTTTTTCTGGTTTCCAGATGTTCCAGTTTACCAGGATTTCTCTAGGCAAGTTCAAATAATAGCAGGGAAGGAAAGCTATGGCAAAGGGATGAAATGAATTGATCTTTTGCTTGTGAATTTTCAAAACTATCAGCTTTCTACCTCTCTGTGTGGCCAGCTTAATCAAATGGAGACAGAACTGATCAATCTCAATTGAATCAATAATTTCTTTTTCTTTGTGAATTTCATTTTAGGGAAACAAAGCCAGATTCTATGGTCTTCATCTTAGCTCACACACTCCCTCTGCTGACAGTGGCAGTCACTGCCAGGATTACCAGGCAGAGCTGCAATAATTTTTAAAATCTGCTGGTGAATGGGAATGTAAAATAAGGCCAGGCCCTGCTCTGAATTCTCTTTCTGTTCATGCCTCCACATATCATGACCGCCAGCCCTACTAAATGCGATGGCACATTCATTCTGCGGCAGTCTATTAGAGAAGCTACAGCTCCACATTCTACTGTCACAGAAAGCTCCATGATACATCATCTGCTTGTGATTTGCTACCTTTCACGAGTGGTCTAGAGAGGACTTGGAATCAGATCCCAAGCTCTGAGACCATGATATCAACAGCTCAAAGACAGTCAGCAAGCAGCACAAGTGGACCACTAATTTTACATTCCCATCCATTCACCGATTTAATTAATAGCAGAGCAGTCATCGGTAAATAGTTATAGAGAAGGTTTCTAAAGGACAATAAGAGAACTTTATTTCCATTGTTTATTTGCTGTAAATAAAAAAAATGCATATCCTAAAATTCAGTGGCTTTAGAAACAAAATTGAAGTCTGAACACTGATTCTGCTTTGGACTGGGTGAATTTGTCCAGCATGTCCAACAGTGTGCTTTTATCCAAGAAACATGTTTCAGAAACTAGGTACAGCATAAAAATATAAAACCAGAAAAGGTTATTTTCTAAATATTTGTATATGCCACAAGCATATCATGTTGGAGGGGAAAAATCTGTGTAAATACTTTGTCCTTTAGTAATACTGTATCCTCTTATCTTTTTTTTAAGCCTGAAATACATGCAGCATTCCCCATTTTACAGGAGAGCAAACTGAGATTCAGAATTTGAATAACTTGTCCAATAGCATACAACTATCTATGAACAGGAAATAGAATTAGGCCTTTCTGATGAAAACAAAAAGCCTTTAAGTTTATATTATGGTGCGTCATAATTTAAGTTATAAATACATATTTACTAGTAAAGGCATAGAACCCTAACATGTGCCTCTGTGCATATTATTGCAGTCATCTTGTATTATATTCCATTAATAAGCCCATGACATCAGGAGTGCACCATCCTAAACCCATACCAATTTTGGAAATTGCTGATGGCAAACATTTGAAAGTAGAAGTATCAGGATTAGGTTTAGTTGCTGGTAAGTCAGATCAACTAACAATAAATTAAAACGAGAAGTAATTTTTTTTCCTTCTGTTACATAATAAAGTCCAAAGGACCTTCCGGGGCTTGCATGGTTTTGGGGATCCAAGCTCCTCCCATCTTTCAGCTTTACTACCTAAGTTCAGATCTTCATCCTCAAAATTACCTCATGGTCCAAGGGCAATTACAACAGTTGCAAACAGTGGGAAGGACAAAGGATGCACCTTACAACTGAGTCAGCCTTCTTTAAGCTGCCATCCCAAGAGTACCACACAATCATTCCTTTTATCTGGGCTAGAACTCCCATGGGCACAGCATGCAGACGTGTGGGGCTGGGAAATGCAGTCCTACAGAGGGCCATAGAGCTGCCCCAAATAAAAGTGAGGTTCAAATACTAAGACATAAGAAGAATGCATATTGAGTGGCAAGTCATTGTCTGCCACAGGAGAGAATGAAATCCCTCACTGTCTGTCTTATACCTTCCCAAACCATATAGGCAAACGACGAAAATCCAATCCAAAACCCCTTGTTCTGAGTGAAGCTAGAAAGCAGTTAATGATCTACAGACTACCTCAGGTCCTCCGGCTGCACCTTAAAAGATTCAGGTGAGCTTGCCCTCGGGAGTCCCACGTGGCTGTGAACTGTAGGAACAGCTGCTTCAAAGGCAAATGGTGAGGGCAAATGTCTGCTGTTGGGAGGGGACGCAGGTTCCTTGGGGACCTTGTGCTTTCCGTGGAGATTAAATGAGTCATGCCCAGTGAGACAAGATGTTGGGGCCCACCAGGACTGGGCTGCTGCTCTCATGGCCCCTTTTAATTGGCTAGCCTGCACCAGGTGTCTGTGCTTGAAGGTTTTCTAGCCTCGTTTTGGCTTATATAGAGTCATCTTCAGAATAAAGTATGAGAGAATCTGTGAAAAGGGCAGGCAGTAAACTGTAAAAGATTATTGCCTGGATTGCTTCTTCAGGGATCTGTAGCTTCAGAGTACCTCATGGAACATTCACCAGAAGTATATGTGGACAGTAATTACTACCGTTCTATTAATGTGAAAACCAAAGCTGAAGGTTAAGTTTTCTCAGTTCCCAGTTCTGCCTACCTCTACCTATGATCACTTACGACATCTTTTACTGATAAGAAGTTTCTATCTATGTTCTAGGTGGTCTGGCCGTAATCATCGAGAGAAGATTGGGGTCCATGTCGTCTTTGACCAGGTATTAACCATGGAACCTTACTGCTGCAGGGACATGCTCTCCTCTCTTGACAAAGAGACCTTTGCCTATGATCTCTCCGCAGTGGTCATGCATCACGGGAAAGGGTTTGGCTCAGGACACTACACAGCCTATTGCTACAACACAGAGGGAGGTGCGTGCGCTTTACTCTGTAGGGTGGGGGACACGGAAAAGGGTGGTCTGTCCACATTTCATTGCTTTCCTTTTCATCTCTAGTAGGATAATACATACATGTAAATCCAGTTGGAAGAATTATGGAAGTTTAATTCAAATTTTTGATAAATCACTAAATAATAACATGAGATTCTGAAAATTAACAAGAACTGACACATGTAAAAGTGCTTATTAGCACGGTGCCTAGCACATTATGCTCAATGTTAGAGGTTATCATTATTATTAATACTTCTGCTGCAGACCTGTTTCCTTTTTGGTTGTGCAGAAATTATATGACCCATCTAGCCTCATGGAGGTATTGCATGAATCTCACTAGCCTCGGCTTATAATAAAGTTGAGGACATTTTCTGAGTATTCACTCTATCCTTACTACATCCCTGACCATGGGAGGTGTGGGGATACAAGGGCCCCTCCCGTCTTCAGTCCTTGTCCCGAGAGCAGAGCCTCCCATCTACTGCGCTGGGGCAGGTGCGCTGCGAGGTCTTTTCAGCAGTGTACTGATCTTGAACCCCTCAGCCCTTGGGGCAGCCAGAGTGAGCCTATGAACAAAAACCTTTTTATTCCTTCTAAATGTTCCTTTATCACTCCTCTCTATTTACATATCCCCTTTCATCCTCCTCCTTTTCCCCTCTCTTCGCCCTCAGTCTCTTGGCTGTCTTTGTGGAAGGCCCTAATGGGGAATGAAAAAGTCTGACTAAAATAAGGATAAAATTCCAGTCAGGTGATACTGTAAGCAGTATTGTGGGGTTTGGTGGGGTTAAAGCTAGTGGTTACAGGGAAGTCTCTTGGTTTCATTTACTTGTCTCCCCTGCACTCCACACCACCACCACCACCACCACCAATAGTCAAGGGTTGGCTCTATTCACACTTCTCTGTCCCTTTCTTCATCTCCTGGTTTTGCCTGCTGATTGGAAATGTAAGTTGGTAGTCATTTACTCTTTCTTTCCTTTGGTTTCCTAGGTTTTTGGGTCCACTGCAATGACTCAAAGCTGAATGTATGCAATGTCGAGGACGTGTGCAAAACTCAAGCCTACATCCTCTTTTACACTCAAAGAACAGTTCGGGGCCATGCAAAACCCCCCGAAACCCACCTCCAAGCTCAGGTGCAGCCCAGCAACAACCACGAGGGCAGACCACGGACCTTCCCCTGAAAGGGAGGCAGATCACAGACTGGCTTGCTTTTAAACTATTGGTGTCGGTACATCTTTCCTGATAGGAAATGAGGTTTACTGCAGGAACAGGTTACTGGGTTTGCCTTACTGGGTCTAGAGCAGAGGTAGCAGGTGACTCATATGCTATCATAAAATATGTAGTCACTTTGTTTTGAATGGATTTGGAAAGTCCCTCCTTTGATAAACAAATCAAAAGTAGTAACTTGTATGAAGCTTCATCAGTTACTTCTGAATGGAGAGGGATCTGGGTAGAGCAAAAAGGGAGTAAGCTGATCACATCCAGCCAGGAGAGCAGCCATGTTTTCTTTCCATTATGTGATTCCCCTGCTAATCAGGGCCTCCTTGCAGCACCAGAAAAATCCTCCTGATGTAAGCAGTCCAGGACAAAGCACATGAGGGGGGCCCTGGGCTAGCAGCTTTCCTGATGGGATTGGTTCCGAAGCAGCAGGTAAAGTGTAAGGAATTGTTCCTACAAAGGAAGTTATCTTCAGGGGTTGAAAACTTGCAGACTTAAAGAGTGGAATGAGATGCATGGAGCAAATTTCCCCATGCAAAATGGGAGGCTTTTCACGTGTCATACCTTCCCTGGGGCTTCTGAGACTGGCATGAACATCCCTTCATTCTAAAGGAGAGGTGCATATAGGGAAGCAATAAACTGGCTCGGGACATGTTCTGCGTAGCCTAAAGGACACTCCTGGCTACTCAGTTCGGTAGTGAATCCCTGGTTCAGGTCAAGGTCTAGGACAGTGGTTCTCAACCTTGGCTGCACATTAGAATCACCTGGGAATCTTTAAAATCCTGATTTCTGGGCCTCATTCTCCGGAAATTCTGTTTCTTTGTTACTAATGTTGTGGCCTCACCCCATAATAAAGAAACAGAATTTCCGGAGGGTGAGGCCCAGAAATCAGGATTTTAAAAAGATTCCCAGGTGATTCTAATGTGCAGCCAAGGTTGAGAACCACTGGTCTAGGGTTTAGTTTAATAGCCAGTGGTCCAGGGCTTATCTGAATGCCTGTCACCTGGTCTCACCTGGTGCAGCATGTAGCTTTTCTTAGCTCGCAGCTTCTTTCTTGCTCCTGGAGGGCTAGAACATTACTGTTCACCACAAATTTTGGGAAATTTTGCTTTCCAAGGGCTTAGGAAGCTGCCCCCCATGTGTCTGGAGAGTTTACTGCTGGTGGCTCTGGCTTGTTTCCTCCCAAATCTGATCATCCTTACTGTTTCTTTACCCAGCCAGAGTCCCCCAGAGAAAGCAAGGGTGCCGGGGCCTTCACTCCAGAGCTAGCAAAATAGCCTTTCTACACGGGGTCAGTTTCTAAGTGGAATGAAATAGCCCAGATGGAGACCTTCCTCCTCATCAGGCACCACTGACCTTCCCTTCTTAATCCTTCACTTAAGACTCACCAGTACAGTGAATGCAAACCGAAACTCTTGTGGGGTTGCTGTAGGCTGCCTCAGCTTGTCATATGAATGCTCATCTTTTGACTGAGTATGTCATATAAACATTTCAATTCAGGTAGAAGTAGAGTTGTCACTTGAAGGGAGTAGATATGGAAGGGAGTTTGGGGAGGGATGGGAAGTTGAGAAAAGAGAGGGTAACAAATAAGGGTTGTAGCTTTAGCGCTACTGACGAGCCACATTCTGGAGCAGATCTGGAGCATTTGCTTTTTACCTCTTTTGAGATCAACTCTCCTAGGACCTGCCAGACAGCACTGAAACATGGAGGAAATTCAGAAAGAAAATGGCTCACCCTGCTAAGAAAGGGAGAGTTCCTATATTTTAAATTACACTTGCTTTTTCCAACACTGTGAGGTTTCTGTAATATTTAGCTTTTATTTGGAAGCGATAGCGTATGGCATTTTTTATGCTGTTTGGTTTATATTGTCTGCTGCAGGCTTCTTTGTATAAGCTTGGCCTGGGCTCACCTTCTCCTGGACACTGTTTTAAAGTGTCACAGCTGCATACGCTGCCAGAGGCTCTGATGTGAAGCTATACTCTCCAGATCCACATTTTAAGTCGGAATGATTGGTGATGACTTTTTGTGGCAATAGAAAAGCCCATTAACTAAAAACAATCTGGGAGAGTAAAAAGAAAAGGAAAATATAAATTGTGCCTCGTCTTTCATTGAATGCTATATTTATTGTTCTAGAAAAAGATAATTTACAAATGGAGAACTAATAGAGCATCTACTTCATCCCTCAGGCTGTCCAGGGGGAAATATTTGAGAGAAAAAAAATGAACATTTAATGGAAAATTAAAAGATCTTCAAATTTAATTTTTAGAAATAGTTTTATACCAAATATTATAAGGCATATTACGCAGATTAAAACTGTAAAATAAGGGCTTACCTTAGCTGAACACCCCTGTATCAAATTAACAAAATTGTTCAAAGTGAGTTGGAATAGACACCCATATCAGAATCCTCACTGAGCTGCACATTCATGGAGGTGCCCCTGCAGCCGCAGACTCCTCAGGTACCAGAGGCAGCAACACTAGACGCTATTGAGAAGTTAGTATTTATGAAGATTTTTATTAAAGAGTTCCCTGCTACAGAAGTCAACGGCTGTTGTGAGGGAACTGTCCCTTTGCCTTTAATTTATTTACATATTGGAAGTAGATGAATTTCTTAGTTGCATCTTTAAATTGAAACATTCTAAAAGAGAAGAAAATAAGAACCAGGTAGAAGTTGACTAGATGCTGCCAAATCAAACCCAAGTTATCTTAACTGAACCGTGCGGACCTGCTCTCTCCCAGACAAGTAGTTAGCATCCTGTTCCAAGAGCCCTTAGCAATTGGCTGGTGTGTTTACTTTCTGTTGTAGCCAGCCAAGATGGATGCACCCTGGCCCTCAGAAAGGATTTTTACCTCAGTCTAGCTTGACCTTCATACTTGTGGTTGCCTCGGAGATGAGCATTCATACTAGCGTAAAAAATATTAGGAATGCCCTCAACAGCTAGAAACAAGCTCTATTAAATGGTGGGCAGAGCTCTTGCCAGCTTTGATCCAGCCCCTCAGACTGAGGGGGGTGGTGCCACACCATAAAGAATTTCCAGATGTTTCTTTCAATGTTATGAATAAAATTGGAAACTGTAGAAGTGTTAATGTGTCCTATGGACTCAATAGCAGAGTTTATTTTTGTTTTTAATGACAAGGCTTCTAGTAAGTGAGCATCTGAGTTCCCTTCTCTGGCTTACAGTTCTATCCTATTCCAAGAACTCATGGGGCGAGTTGGCTGGCAGTGGGCATGGCCCTAGAGGCCCCAGCATAAGCCGAAGAGAGGTGGACAGTAGTGCAGAAGGAAACTGGTCGGGTGTGGAGGGTGGGATGTGGGTGGGCAGGCAGGGAAGGAGAAATGGAGTTTGTTTTCTTACTGATAAAGCTTTGTGAACTAATTTTATATAATTCATAAAATTTGGTGCCTTGTACCCAATTATGGTTTGCATGGGATTGAAAAGATTAAGGGAAAGGAATCCTTCTTGTCAAGTGGCATATTGGTCTGTATAGTGTAAAGGACATTTGGTATCAGACTTTTTAAAAGTGTTTCATGTCTCATGTGTGAAAGCAAATTGTTCTTACCAGCAAGATCTGAAATTTTACTGTAATGTTCAAAATATTTGTGATTATTCATGAAATATCTGCTTTTCGAGGCAGACTGTGTATCCCATTCTTTTTCACCACCCCTTTTATGTTCAAAACATGAACTCAAGCCTTTTCAATCAGGCTGGGAGGGCCCCCCTTCTTAACCATGTACTACTCCCCTATCTGGGTTATATCAGGAGCGGAAGGTTGCTTTTCCAGCTGGTTGGGAGAGCACAAATGTTCAGAAGAGGCCTTTTTGTTTCTCTAATGCTGGACGGCTTATGGTAGGAGTCAAACAAAAATGGGTCCCTTGAAGTACTACCTTCATTAATTCTAAATTTCTTTTGCAGAAAATTTCAGAAAGCAATGTAGAACAGTCCCCTGTATGTGAACCTTTGATTTAGGTTGTAAGGCAAGCCAGTGCACTGTGTAATTTGCAAAAGAGAAGGCTCAAAGAACCTGCCACAGCCCTCTTTCCCGGCAGGTGCTGCCTGGGATGGTGCTGAGTGGCTGTGGAAGGTGAGACCCAGCCTGCTCACCTTCGTGCTGTTTACAGCATGTCCTTTTACTCTGCCCTTACGGTTTCACTGAGCTCATGAGACTTCACCAAAGGGTGTTTAAAAAGCTCACCACTCAAAGCACATTTAATAATTGGGTCTCTCCGCTTAACTACTGGCTTAATTAGGTGAGGAGGTTCTATCTTTGGAGTAAAACCTCCCATGGCCACTTAATTTTTTACCAGGTAACTATGTATCTCCCTGGTGGCTCGGACTCTTTCAAGTCAGCACTACTGCCGACAGCGCCTTCCAAATCTGACTGTGAGTTTAGTTTATATCTTTCACATTTAAGTTAACCATTCTTCTGGTCTAGGGCTTTGACTTAACCACTGTGTATTCATTCAATCCACACATTGCCCTAAGTGCACCATAGCTACTATAGCATTGAGGTAAATGGTCATTTTTGTAGACTCTTCCCATACTTATTCTACTGGCAAGTTTCCATTTAAAATCTAAGTAGGAAGTGTAAGAGATTTTCATAGTACTGTGTTATTAGCCAGGGCTGAAAACTGACAGGATGTAAACCTGATTTCCTTTGGGGAAAATGCTATGTGTTGGAATGGTGAAAGCAGCACTTTCATTCATAGAATGATTACTCACCGCGATTTTTGAAATTGTAAATTTGGTAGCTTTATTTGCTAGTCTTATCACTTTGAGGAATTAAGCCAGTTTAAATCAAACTTTACCTTACCAGCATATGGCTTTACAAACCAACCAACAGTGAACACTATTACTTGAAGCTAAAACATTTTTAAACATAATTTAATTACAATTGACATACAATATAAGACATCAAATTGAGTGAAATTTCAATGCTTTTTAAAGCTACCATATCTTAATTTTACTGGGTTTTGATTTTTTTAAAAAATTGATTTCAGAGAGAGGAAGGGAGAGGGAGAGATAGAAACATCGATGAGAGAGAAGCAATAATCTGCTGCCTCCTGCATGCCCCCCCTACTGAGGATTAAGCTCGAAAACTGGGCATGTGCCCTGACCGGGAACCAAACTGTGACCTCTTGATTCATAGGCCGATGCTCAACCACTGAGCCACACCAGCCTGGCTGGGTTTTGATTTTTAACTTTGAAAACATTTATGAAATAGAACTGTTCACAATTATGAGATCTGGTAGCAGACTTCAAGGATGTAAGTTTCACTGTTATAAAGAACAGGAGGTGCTCATACTGGTCTTAGCAGTGGCCTGACACAGGTGGGAAGGGGCTTAGACCTATGCTGTGGCATAAAAGTTTCCTTCCTGGTCACCATTTTTAAAAGAAAATATATTAAAAATCTAATTCTCAAACAGCTTTCTTAATGAGATTTATGCCAGCAGGGTGAAGAGGAATTATTTGGTCTTATTTACCTTTAGTGAACAGGTTGCTAGAGACAACATCTGTCAACCGTAACCAGTACATTTACGCTGACCCGCCTTTCCCATTCATTCCCTTATCCCATACCAGTTCCATTAAGAGACTTGGCACAGAAAAGCAGTATTTTTTTAAATCCCTAGTAAAGTAAATCAACTAGGAAAAAGTTGTCAAGGGGAACGTGTCACTATTTCCACATCTCTCCTACATGAGTCTTCCAGGCCAGTTCATTACAGATCCCATTTGCAAAGACTCCAAGCTCCTGGGCAGCGACACGACTATGAGTTTCAGTGTCAGAAAACACCTATTTCCTTGTGAAGGAAGCAGTTTTCTCAAGGAGACAGATGCTCACTTCAGTGCCCATCGCCCAGGCTTACTTAACACCTAGCCTCCACCTGCCTATCACTGCCCTTTCCACCAATAATTCCCATTCTCTTACAGCAACAATGCCTCCCTGGTGCCTGGAAAACCCACCTGGAGCATTAACATGCTATGCAACACCAAAAGGATTCTTCCCCTAGTAACGCTCAAAAATGGAAATTCCTCAGTAAGCCTCAGGCTATGTTAACATCAATGAATGGTGGCTACAGTTTCCATTTCTTTTTTTCTTTTAATATGAAGCAAGCCACCTCAGCCACAACCGTGTTTGGGCTTGTTCCTATCTCGTGTGTGAAATATAAATCATGTTTTTATGATTTTTGTAAATCAACTTTTTACACCTTGTTTTTGTAAGCTGAAGTTTCTAATTAAAAAAACAAAAACTGGCTGTCTTTGTGTGCAGTCTTTATTGTAGATAATTGTTAAAATACCATCAGGTTATTCCTCAAGAAAAGAGCAAAGATCACTCTCTACCGAAACTTAGGAATTATGTACAGAACTTTACAAAACAGAGGGCAACACTTTAGCTGAAGCCTGACTGCTGACCAGAGAATGAATTCTGAGTAGACCCGGCGAAGGGAAGCAGGCAGGGAAGGGAAGGTAGCCATGTGAATCAAACTTCAGCTGCTATCAGGGAAAGTCTTGTGATGGTCACAGATTGGAGGCTCTGTGTTTGGAGGTTCAAGTACATCCCGGGTTCCATGTGTCTGCAATCAGACAACAGAACAGGAGGTGGCATGTAAAAGCAGAAAGGTAAACGCAGGGAAATGGGTAGACTCGAGTTCCTTCTAACATGGAAACACACGTAACTAGGCAGCTGCCAAAGGTTTTACATCAAGTCTCTCCCCTCCATTTTGTGGACAGTCGATAAAATGATTGCTTCGCCCTGCCTCTCATGACACACAGTGGTTACCTGCTTACCTATCTGGCTACACCCCTGGCTGAGGTGCCATTAAGTCAATGTCACTCAAATTCCTGGCCAGCCAAACTCCTGCAGCGAAAAGTCCCAAGTTGAGGATCAAGTTCCTGGAAAAAGAATTATTCTATTAACCTTGTGGTCAGAGTCCCACCGCCAGCACCTGGAAAAACCTCCCGGAGGCAAACACTTCCAGACCGCGGGAGCGTTGGTCACTATCGCCACATCATGACGCGGCGGCCTGTCCAAGACCCAGTTATTTAACTGAGTGTCTATCTAATAAGAGAAGGTCAGATGCAGAGACCAATGAAGCACCCATCTGGGGCCGAACAGCCCGTTTGGGTGCTGGCGCCGCCTCTTCCCGGGTCCACGCCGCCCTCACCCCCAGCCCACCCCGGTCAGGGTGACACTCTCCAGACAACCGGGTAACTGAAAACACGGCTTTTGCCGGCACCGGAACTCGCCGAGCAAGGCTCTCAGCAAACCACGGTCTAAGCCCCCGGAGGGCCAGCCTGGGCCCAGGCACTGCGGCGGGTTCTGTGCTCGGGCGCGGAGGGAGGGCTGGGGCCGGGCTGCGGCTCCGTTACCTCCGGAAGTCATTCCGGTCGGTGGCGAAGCGGTAGACGCCCCGGAGCCAATCTCCCACGTTGTCTGGGATTTCGGGAGCTTCATTTGCCGAGCCGCCAGCGCTCACGCCGACGCCGCTGGAAGCCATAGCAGCAGCTCCACGCTCCGCCAGGCCTGACCGCGGACGCTGTCCGCGCACGAGGATGACGCACTTCCGGCCTCGCACTTCCGCCGGCTGCCGCGGAATCCAGGGCGCCGCTGCTGGAGCGAGTCCGACACCCGCGCGAGAGGTGGGACCCCGGGCTGAGCGTCCACGTGCTCTGCGAGGGCGGAGCAGGCTCGGCCCTGCGCTCCCGCGGTCCCGTCCCACCTCCCGCTCCCTCCAGGCCTTCGGCTAGCCCAGCCGTCGCGTCACACGTGGCCTCGGAGTGACCGCTTCATTGGCGCAGGAGGAGGCTGGGGATCCAGGTGCCCCGGCCTGTGGGGTCGGGGAGGGGCCAGCTCAGCAGGGGCTGCGTAGCTTTGGGGAATGGGGCTCCCCAAGAAAGTCTCCATCAAGAGTCACAGAATGCGCGGGCTGAGGAGGAAGTACTCAAGCTGGCCACCCCGCCGCCTCTCCCAGCGCGTCCCTGGCTGCGTTCAGTCTAGGATTTTTACGGGGAGAGGAGTCTCGGCCCCCGCCTCACAGATCGCCCCTCCCCTCGACTCCCCCTGCTCCGGGCCGCGCCCCTAGCAAACGGTGCAACGCTTCCTGGAGGTGCCACTGTCATCAGCCTGGAGGCGTCTCAGGGTCGCGCAGGGCCGGGGAAGGCGCTGACCTAAGAAAAAGCCTTCGGGTTCTGAGTCGGAGGAAGAGGAGCAGGTGGGGCAGGGGACGTCCTCCTTGGGACCAATGGACGTTTCCAGGGGGCCCTGCCCGCGTCCTCTGGGCGCCTCCGCCTTGTCCCCAGCTGGGCTGTCCTGCTCCCGGCAGGACCCCAGCAGCCGCCTCTGGGTTTCTGGACTGGAGCTGACGGCCGCGGAGGGTAGCGGAGCGCGGTCCCCTCCTTCAGCTCTGCGAGAGCCCCGCCTCCCCTGCTCCTCCGGGTCAGACAGGCCTTTCTCCGAGGCCTGCGTCTCACACCCGCAAATCCGGGAAGGGCGCCTCCCTCTCCCGGCTAGGGCCCCCCTTCCCCCCACCGGCCACGCCCCGAGGGTGCGCAGGCCGCCGCGCTGGTCCCCTCGGGCTCCTCGCCCTCTCCCCGCCTCCGCCCACCAGAGGGCGGCAGCATCCCCAGTCCGGGAGCCAGTCCCGCGCCGCAACCTCACCCGCGGCGCGGGATGGGCTCGGGAGGCCCTCGGAGCGCTCCGGCCAGGGATGCGTGGTGAGAGCTGCGGGCCCCGAAGCTCGGGTTTGGGGGTGCGGTTGGAGGACGGGGGCGCTGCTGGAGGGACGGGACGGCGTGGGACCGGGGCGAGGGCCCCAGCCCGGGGGAACTCCCTCTGCCCACTTCCCCTTGGATCTGCACCTTTCCTCCCTTACCAAGGGGCGGCCTTCCTTCCAGGGTCGCGGCCAGGCTCCAGCCGGCATCCGAGTAGCGACTCTCAAAGCAAGTGGGGCAGCAGGGGCCGCCCCCCGGCCAAGCATAGCGTCCACCCCCCAAGGGCCCGGCGCAGTCCTGGCAGCAGAAGTGGTTCTCGTGCCAGCGCCATCCCTCCGCCTCGGTGCAGCGTGGGGAGAAGATCAGCTGGGAGAGGGAGAGGGGACCGGCTCATTCATTCATTCACTCATTCATTCATCCAGTAACCACGCCTTATAGCCAGTTAACGCGAAAGCACGTCGACGGACACTCATTTGATCTACTCCACCACTCTCCGACGCAGGGAGGGCTGATTGGCTTAGCCAGGATCCCCAGCTAGCAGGTGGCACAGCCCGGAGTGCGACCCAGGGTTCCGCTAACATTGTGCTAACTCAGGGGAGTTTCTCGCATGACAAGGCACAGCACTGGGCACCGGCATACTGATGGGAACGTCTGTCCAAGAGTCCCTGCTCCAGAGAAATTGTCAACCCCAGAACTTATGGGGGACACTGCAGTGAGGGAGGAGGCAAAGGGTCCCACGTGCCCAGAGCTCAAGTGGAGCAAGGGAGACACAAAGGTCCTAGGCTGTGCCCCTTCTCCCTACTCCACTCCCTTACATCCTGCCAAGTTGGACCCTGAACAGCCCTCCCCTCAGAGCTGTACCTGGTCACAAGCAGGGCAGCGTGGCCTCAACAGCTCAGCATGATGATGGCCGCAGGAGAGATGCCCATCGTGGTCGAAGTAGATGCGGTTCATCAGGGCCTGGCCACCAGCCTGGCAAGCAAAGCAAGCCTGGTGCCAGCAGGGCCGCTCTCCTGCCCTGGCTGCAAACACTCCGTATTCCCCTGGCCTCAGGCGCTCCCTGCACTGCCAGGCAGGGTGCTGGCTGGTCAGAGGCAGCACCACCCTCCTGGCTCTTCCATCCCAGCCCCACCTCCACTGCACGCTCACCAAGAGCCCCCAAACTTGGTTTCTCTTGAAGTTTACCATACTGTCAATCCCCAAACCCTTTTCTCCCCAGAGTCTCAGAAGCTAGCTCCTTCTGCAGAATTGAGAGGGCAAAGTGTGTCGGAAGGGGAATATTTGGGGGGGTGGGGGGAGATACTACATACCTTTTCACAGGTGCATTCTTGGAGCTTGGGAGGTATCAGGCACGCCACCCCCTGTCCCAGGGCCTCACGCCTCCGCTGGGCACAGAAGAGCCGGAGCTCAGCCAGCTCCTCCTCCCCAAGGGCCAGGCGGTATCGCTCCTGCAGAAACAGGTTCCACTGTGACCAGGAGAGCCCCAGCAGGCAAGATTGAAGTTTGAGTGGAGAAGGCTTAGCTGCTGGGTCAAAGGAAGGTTGTAGAACCTCCGGGAGGTGCAGGTGGTAACAGCATAGAAGGGCATTGAGATGGAAAGGGAAAGGGACAGGGACAAGAGTGCCAGTAAACCCACCTCAGTCTTACTCCCCCCCTCCCCCAGGAACGGTCATCACTCAGGTCTGACACTAAGCACTTAGCCCTGTCACCACACATTTAGGTCCTTGCTCCCAGTGAACCATATATATAGCTCAATATCACTTCCCATGGTGTTTGCCCTATTTAGTCCATATTCTCCTGTCTTGCCTACCCAACTGATTATAAGCCTTTAGACTGGGCACACAGAGAGCCTCAATAAATACTTAACCATACTCCCTACATTTGTACATTCCATTATTCGTTTCAAAAGTTGCTCATGTCCATTTTCTCATTTGCTCTTCAACTAAGCATTGTGGCAGGCAGAACGGCCATCGTGTAGGTAACTGTACCCATTATGTAGATGTGAAAACTCGGGCTGAGGTTGGGGGAATGACTTCCCCCAATTAGTGGCAGAGCTAGGCCTTAAATGCATGTTCCCTGACTTCTGGACCAGGGTTCTTCCACAGAAGGTACAAAGGGGGGCGCTGGGGAGAGGGAGACCCACATCGCCGTCCTGAGGAGGGAGCTGCTGCAGGAGCGTCCGGAGCCCAGGCCAGTTGGGGGCTCGGTTGGTGTCCAGGCCAAGGAGCCCCAGGCTCAGAACTTCAGGATCCTGAGGAGACACAGCAGCAGATGAGGAGTGGAGCTAGGTTTTCCCTCTTCCCTCCCCTTCTCATTGCCACCTCTTCTCCAATCTGGGACCACAGCCAAGCACACACACACACACACACACACACACACACCCCTTTTGGACAATCAACTTTAAGATCACCGGGACAGCTGACCCACTCCTGCATTTGTGGTCTGATTGATGGAGGTTGGGGAGGCCTCACAGCCCAAAACAGCTTCCCTTCATATGCTTAAAATCACCCTCTTCACTCAGGGCCCAAACCCCTCAGGTCTGCTTTAACAACACAGACCCCCTTGGAGAGGTAATGTGTATTCATGTGAATACATTTAAAGTCAAACCCTCATGTCCTGGGGGGGTGGGGGGGGATGGGGGTGGTGGTGGCTGTAGAAACAGATTCCTGCAAAGAGGAATCCTGTTCTCCTTTCCCTGAGCTCCACCTCCTCCCAGCTGGTGGAAATGGGAGGAGATCCAAAGGGTGGAGGCTTATTGGTCTCAGAAGGAAGGGCAGGACTCCCACTACCTGAGCAGAGGTCTCCTCAAGGTCCTCCTCCGGCAGGTGGCCTGGGCCACTGTCGAAGTTCGCTGGTGCGTCTGCATCCCCAGCGGTGAGGCCCTCCCCTTGGTGGGGCCAGCCAGGGTTCAGCACCAACACTGATGGCAAAGTCTACCCCGAAAATAACAAGAACACCTCCCATTTATTCAGTTCTTAGAATGTGCTACTAGGCAGCGCTAAGTGCTCTACAGACATGATCTCATCCAACAACCATGTGAGTCAGGTGGCATTTTCTTCTCCATTTTTACAGATGTCCAAACTGAGGCCGGGTGAGCATACATGGTATGCCCAAGGTCACACGGCTAGTAAGTGGCAGAGCCAGATCTTGAGGCCAGGCCTTTCGGCTCCAGAGTTTCTGAAGCTCAAACTCTGGGGTCTCTTAAGATTGGGATGGTGCCCTAGCCGGTTTGGCTCAGTGGATAGAGCGTTGGCCTGCAAACTGAAGGGTCCCAGGTTCAATTCCAGTCAAGGGCACATGCCCGGGTTGTGGGCTCGATCCCCAGTGGGGAGCTTGCAGGAGGCAGCCAATCCATGATTCTCTCTTATCATGGATCTTTCCCTCTTCCTTCCTTCCTCTCTGAAAGCAATAAAAAAATAAAAAGATTGGGATGGAGGAAAGAGGAGGCCCACAGTGGGAGGAGAGGGCATTGCGCCTTTCTGGTGAGCCTTGGGCAGACTGGTCCCTGCTTCCCCACCTTCATGGCCTTAACTCTCACCATTCCTCATTGTGTACTTATCAGGCCAGTGTCTGGCTTCCTCCCCACTCCCTGCACAGGCCCTACCTGCTCCAGCTGTGGGCGTGAGCCAGGCGCAAGGACCACTGCGCCAGGAAGCCCTTCTCCGTCTCTCCAGCCCATCGCTATTCCCTTTCCCTGAGCTCCAGAAGTACAGCCAGTGTCTCAAGATGGAGCACATGTTTCTCTTTGCCCCTGTGTCTCTCTCAGCTCCTCATCTAGTCTCTGAGCTCCTCCAGGACACAGGCAAATCTTGTGTTTCTATCTCCCATCTAGAGCAGCAATTTCATTGGACCATTCTAAGTGCCTCTCTTCAGCCCTCCTCCGGGCAAGCCCTGGAAAGACCACAGGATCTTGGGGGCGGGAGGAGACGACTGAAGTAGAACAGGGATGGGCCCTGCCCACAAGGAGCTCAAAGTCTAGTGGGTAAGACAGAGATGAAGCCGGGCAGAATGGGGCTAGAGCTCCCGGCAGGTACACACAACGCCACAGGGGAAAGAATAACCGGAGCAAACTTTTCTGTTTACTCCGTGCCAGGGGCTAGTCAGCATTTTACATCCTTTACTCCATCCTCACAACAATTGCCTGAAGTGGTTTCTATTATCCCATTTTAAGGCTGAAACAAACTGAGGTTCATTACCTTGCCCACATCAGAAGACGAAGGGGAGCTTTAGGAGGAGGTTGCCTTTGAGAGCTGAGATGGATTCTGACGGGCAGCGGGCACAGGAGGGCCGGCAGCAAATCCCTGGCCTGTAGAAGAGGAGGTGGGAACAGGGTTTGGACTCTAACAGTTAGACTGCTTCCCAGCCCACAGCCCCCTCTGCACCCCCTTTCGGATGTCCCGTGCCACCCTTCCCAGCTTCCTGGCTCCACACCCACCTGCTTCCTTCCCGGTCTGTCCCTCAGGTCCGGCTTCCTGTGGAAGGCAGCAGGGTGGGCCATTCACACTGAGGGCCAGCAGCAGCCACTTTCCCTAACAGCCGTGCCCCTGCTCCAGGCAGCAAGAGGTGCTTGGGGGAGGGGCCCACAGGAAAAGGGGGTACATCTGGGGCCCCAGGGGGACTCTCTTCCAGGTTAGTTCTAGTTTGCATGAATTGTCCCACACAGACAATGCTCAGAAGTCAGCCCTCGCCCCTCACCCTTCATTCCCCTTCAAGGGCAGCCTAACTCCACCTCCGCTTAGCACTGGACCCCACTTTTTAAAAATGCTGATTCCTTGCAAAATCTGCCCCCCCCTGCTCCCCTAGACAAGGGACAAGGCTGAACCCCCCCTCTCACCTGCGCGCAGGTGTAACCAGGCTCATGGAGTTCCACCTTCCCAACCCACCCCTGCCCTAAAGGGCAAAGCCTGAACCGCCCTATATAGTCTGGGGAGGTAAAGGGATGGGTTGGTTTCCCGGACAGTGAGAGGGAGAAGAGAAGTGTCCAGTCCCGCCAAATACCCTCTGGATAGATCCCCAAAGTGTTTTCTCGGTCTTCGCGGGGCCCCCTTGGAGGCAGGCAGCGTGGTGTGGTGCCCAGTCAGCTGGGGTTCCCAGTCTGGCTGCTGGGAGCTTAGAGAAGAGGCGGGACTCTGCTGGGGACTCACCCTCGCGGTGCGCCGGCTTCTGGGCCGTTCTGGTCGTACCCCGCCGTCGGGTTCCCCTCACTGAGTCCCCACCCCAAGGCGCAGCGCCCGCCCCCACCCCCCGGGAGCTCAGCCCTCGCTCCCCCACGTCCTCCCAGGCTGGTAGAGCTGGACGGCTCGGGGAGGGGTCGGGGCTCAGAAAGCCTTTGTGAGATCCGGGGTGGAAAGTGTGCAGGCTCCATTCCCCCCGCCCCCATTACTCTGGGCTCAGTGCCGGTATCGTGCTCCTGCGGGCGCCGAGCAGACATCGGGGAACCTCGTTTATGCGGGTCCTCGGCCACTCGCGGAACAGAACGCCTGATCAAGCACACAGGTCCCCGCAAACCTCCCTCTGGTTTTCTAGCCCCGCCCATCCATCTCTGTGTCCTCCCCCTTCTCCCCAGTGGTCCCTCCGCCCCTTCCCCTTTCTCAGTCTCTTGCCAGAGTCTCTGGTACTGCCCGTCTCTTTTCCATCCCTTCAGACCCCTCCCCGATCTTTCCTGTTTCTCCCTCCACCCCGTGTCCCTTTCTGCTCGTGTAGTGGAACCTCTGGTCTCACCTCCGTCCCTTCAGCCCCGCCCCCGCGCCAGGCCCGCCCCATCCCACCCCGGGCCCCGCCCCCAGGAGCGCTCAGCTGCTGGCCAGGAGCGCCCTCTGGCGGGGCGCATGCTCCCTGCTCCCGACTGCAAAGTCCTCCAAAGGGACCTTCTAGGCTGCCCGCCGGTCGCCCCGAGCGGGTCCGCCCGCCCGCAGCGTCTCGTTGGTAGCGCCGGTGACTCCGACCCCATGACCGCGGGGTGGGGCTGAGTGCAGGGAGACCTTAGCTCCGGGCGGGCGGCGGCTGCTGCAGCGGCACCCGGGAGCGGGGCCCGGCGCCGCCCGGGCCGCGGGGCGATGTGAGTCGGGGCGGGCGGGGCGGGGACGTGGCGGCTCCTGCGAGGCCGCACCGCGCTGCAGTCTCCGCTCCCGTCCGCGGCGGACCGGCGAATGGCGGAGCCCAGGGCTGGGGGCGGGGGTGCAGGGACGGCGCGCGGCCCGACCGCCCCCATTCCTTCCTGAAATCAGCTGGGGATCCCAGTCTAGAAATCCCCTGACAGCCCCGCAGCCTAAATGCTTCTCACGCCACAGAACCACCCCACCCCCACCCGACACACCTTCGCCCGTCCTGGTGCCGTCGGAACCCCTCGTCCTGCGGGTTTCCTTCACTCCCACCTTCTCCCCGGGATGCCCCCAAGGCTTCCGACGCCCTGACATTCCTCTGACCCATGTTACCCCTACCCCGTTATCCTTGCACGAGTTGCCGGCCATAAAACTGTCCAGGGTGCCCGCCACACACAGTAATATTTCTGAGACGTCGGGAACCCCCTCTTAACTCCGTGCCCCGTGCAACCCTATCCCAGCACCAGAGCTCCCTTCTCCCGTCCCATCCACTGTAATGCCCCTCATCGGGCTGTCATCAGATGTATTTACAGAGAAGGGGACAGAAGAGGTGCAGCAGCCGCCCCCATCTTGCACCCTATACTTAGTTCTTGGTTTCACCCCCAGACTCCTTGGGATGGCTCAGGCCCCAGTATTTTCCCCAGCCGCCGCCTGTCTCTAGGCTGTGCACACCGCCCTCAGCCTGCTACCACCTTCCAAAGAAAAAAGCCAGACCAAGAGGGTGGGGGTCTTTCCACCTGGGAAGTTTTCCAAGCATACGAGTACAAGAGGCCCTGGGAAATGATCGTGTTTTTCCAGAAAGGAAGGTGGGATTTCACGAATCTCCGGGGTCCTGCCCTGTCAGCTTGTCTACTTGGGGCTCAGATCCCTGAAATTCTGGGTTTTTGTTAGCATGTGTATTAACATTCTAGGCCTTTCAGAGCTTGGAGAACAGAAAAAAAATCTATCAAGCTTTCAAATGTGAGATTGTTGTGAAAGAGGAAAATTGTAGTGATATTTGTCCTACATACTTCTCTAGAGGTAATTTACGCTGGAAGCGCCACAGTTTACAAATATTTCCCTTTAAAACTAACGCCTCGGGGTGGGACTTGGGGGTGGAGGTGGTGGGACTGACTTGGCCGTCTCCTAGTAGCAGCAAAACAGTCTAGAATATTTGTTTCCTGAATCTTAAGCCAGTGCTCTTTCCAGTACGTCATCGTGTCTTTTTGAGAAAGCTCTTTGTAAAGTTCTCTGCAAAGGTAAGGTGGTGGTTTTGGTGTTGGTCGTAACAGCATTCAGCCGGAGTCTGGCGGCCACTGAAAAGGTCGCGGGCTGCCTCAGACTTCAAACCCATTGATACTAGGAGAGCACCCTTCCCAGAGCTTATGGTGCTCAGAACTTGTGGTCCCTTTGCCCTTGATCTTGCTTTATCCATTGGTGTTTTGGTCCCATTAGGACCTGGAACAGATACGCAGGTGGGATGGACCAACAGCAAGTCAATCTCTTTAACGGTTGGTGAGGATGAATGTTTCCACTAACCTGTGGTCTCTGTCTCTTATGCTAGGTGAGCCCCGGGTGTGTCCCAGAGGGATCCAGGTGACTTCTCTGCAGACTGCTTGCCATGACGCCCCACCAAGAACAGGGGGACTAAAGTGGGGGTCCTTCCCCATGCCCCTCCCAGAGTCAGTTTCCCGATGGCCTAGGTGAGGTGAGAGCTATATATGGGAGCCAGTTTATCCTAGAGTTTCCCAAATTGAGAGGGATGGAGGGTGCAGGTCAGGCTTGTTCAAAGCTTTATACATTCAGTGGGATATCAGATCTTACAGATTCACTTCTTGTATCAAGTTGCAACCCCTTAATTCCGGTTGGAATCAGTCCCTGTGTTTGCTTGCTCCCTTAGGTCACTCAAACCTGGTGGTCAGTATCCCCTCCATCTTAGGCACAGTCCTACTATTGTGACATACAATCCCAGTGCCTTATCTTGGAGGGAAAAGCCAAGATTATGTTTCCCCTTTGACCAAAAGCAAATCCAGCATGTGTTTTTTAAGTCAAGTTTATGAAAAGTGTGCTGTTTTAAATGTTCAATCCTCTGAGTGTATCTTTTGACCGTAATGTAGCACCTCAAATGAAAAGAACATCAAGAAGATAAAGTTGAGGTGGATGTTGGGATGGTGGTAAGGGAGGAAAGGAGAATTGGGATGATGTGGGAAGAATGAGGTGGAAAAGGAGAAAAGTATAGGCCAAAGTGTCTGGGACTCCCCAATTAATTTCTTTGCTGAATTTGGATGAGGCTCAAGTCCAGAACCCAACTCCTGATGCAAATCACTTCTGGGTTTCTACTTGTTTCATGTTTTTCTTGCTGCCCAGGCCTCCCTTCACTGTCACTGCATCGGCCCAAATCCTATATACTTCTCAAGGTCTAGATCAAATGCTATGTCTGAGAAGCACTTTCCATCCCCCATTAGCATTAATCTTTAACACACCCTAACTTTAACACACCTAACCAGTGTGTGTCTGGTCCTGGGTGGAGAGTGGGACTTTCTTGAGGGAGGGACTGTGTCATGCAGCCCCTTGGGCAGCGTAAGTGGTCACAGTGAGATGGCTCTGCCGAGTTCCCGAGCGCAGGGCTTGGGGGAGCTGACCTTGACTTTCTTATCCCTTATGCTTCCCTTAGGGTGGGCCGGCTGCTCTGACACCATGGGGAGCTGCTGCAGCTGCCTGAATAGAGACGGCATCCCAGACAACCACCCCACCAAGTTCAAGGTACCAACAGCCCCTCCTCTCCTGAGTGCCCAGCAGGGCCTACTGGTCTCCAGCCCCCAGCGGTGGCGTTGTCTCGGCCTCCCTCGAGAAGGGGGAAAGACAGGCTGAGGCCGTGGGCTCGTTCACACTTCCTGAGATCAGGCCTCTGAGGTGGCCTGCGGAAAAGGAGCCCAGGCTACTGTGGTGTGTTTGGCTCTTGGTGCCACCAAGAATGAAGGAATGTCATAAACAGTAGCAAAGGTGGTGCTTTTAGATCATTGGGTCCTGTCAGTATGTCTTCGTAACGTTACACGTAACTCTTTTGGACAAAACAACAAAAGTCTGCACTGGTGAGTTAATATGTATAAAGTATTAAGACAGTGCTTGGCACATGGTAATCGCTACGTTAGTGTTGCTGAGAAGGCCAGGCCCAATGGACCTGCGCACCCCTGGTCCCCCCCACCTTTCAGGTGGTGGAGCCCCTCCTGTTGAGGCGTGGTTTCTCCTGCTCACCACAAGAGGGCGCCCTCAGCAAGGTCCTAGCGTTGGGAGGTGGTGGAGGCAGTCTGTATTTGTTCTGCCTTGGGCTTGACTCTCCCAGGGTCTTGAGATTTTGAACTTACAATCGAACACCTTCTTCCATTAACATCTGGTCCTTGGATACTAAGCCATGGACCATCTGAGGTCATCTAACCTTGGTCGTCCAACCGTCTGACTATGGAGGTAACGAACCACCCCTCCACTTACTGTGCAAATGGCAAACCGAGGCCTAGAGAACTGTTGTGGGTCAGTGGCCCTGAGTAATCATGTGGCTGGCGTTCCGGAGAGGCTGTGGTGAGTCAGGTGAGCCCCTCGGTCCCCAGCTGTGGCCCTGCATCCTCAGCCTGCCCATCTCCCAATGGCTCAGGGACCCATACCCACCCTTGTTGGACTCACTCATTGACCCTCTGTCTCCTGCTCCCCAGGTGACGAATGTGGATGATGAGGGGGTGGAGCTGGGCTCTGGGGTGATGGAGCTGACACAGAGCGAGCTGGTGCTGCACCTGCATCGGCGGGAGGCTGTCCGCTGGCCGTACCTCTGCCTGCGGCGCTATGGCTATGATTCCAACCTCTTCTCCTTTGAGAGTGGCCGTCGGTGCCAGACGGGCCAGGGTGAGTACCCACCCCTGCCCCATGCTACCTAGGGCTTGTGTGCCTGGGCCAGGTGCTGGGCTGGAAGTCACAGCTCAGACTTGGCAGGTGTTGCCCAGCGAGGGGAAGGCTCATGGCCGGGAGCACCGGCATGTTAATACAGAACTAAGTGGACTCCCAGGCCAGTGCTCCTTCACTTAGCTCTGGCGGGGACCCCTTTGTGGGGAGGAGCTGGTGCTCCGAGACCAGAGCCTGCTGGGGAAGCAGCTGATGGCTCCTCCCTCTGTGACTCCAGTTTCAGGGTCCCTACGTAGGAAGAAACTTCCTTCTGAGCCCAGGTCATGTACCCTAGGGCCCGTGAATAATGAAAAGCCAGGCAGGAAGCTCTGCCGTCCTCAGGGCTCTGTGGCTGGTAATGGTTGATTTGGGCAGGTCGGTCTCTTGGGTCCCGGTGTGCAAAGCAGCCCTCACGCGGTTATCCGTCGTCACCTGTGAGCAATGGAGTGAGATGTATTCTTCCTCCTTCCCCTTCCTCCCTGTAGCCAGAGGTCAGGGTGTGGTGGGTTGTCCATGAGGTCAAGGCTAGAGCTCTCCATGGCTCTTGAAGCAGTGGCGTGGGTGGGGCTTCTCTTTAGGGTTCAGATATCAGCTCTGGGACTGCGTTAAATGCAGTTTGGGTTGTGACTATGCAGAGGTGAAACGATCGAGCTCCTCTTTTGAGGCTGCCAACGGACAGTGAGTCTCCGAGGTTGTATTGGCTGGGGGAGCCGCCGTCCCTCCGGCATCTGACCTTGGAGCTCATGAGGCAGAGGCAGTAACACTGACTGAGCAGAGAGCGGGGAGGAAGGTGGTGTTTAGTCCATACTTGGGATCCTAGAGGGGCTGCCCTAGGCCCCAACACGGGGCTTTCCCAAAACTTGAGGCTTTCCCAGCCTTTTTTAGCCTTCAACATAGCTTGCCAGTGTAGTCTTTTTTCTCTTCATCTTTCCTGTCCCATTCCTGCACACCTCAGATGTCCCATATCCCAGCTTAGCTTTATCTATCTTTGTTGTACACACACACACACACACACACACACACACACACACACACCAAGTAGCCTCCCCTGAGTCCTGGGCCCACTGTTACGGGAGTGCAGAATCCCAGACTGGCACAACATCCCGAGGGCGACTTCGGATCCCCTGAGTCACAGGTGCTCAGCCCCTCCGGCCGACCCCGGGACTTTGAGTTCCTGCATTCGAGTCTGAGAGGTTATGAG